GCGTTAATGTTCTTGTGACTCCTGTTGTCTCTATCATAGTGCTGCTGAGGCTCCTGATGGCTATCTTGCTTTGATGATCGGGTTATCTTATCTCGGGTAGTTTTCTCGTCGGCCAACTTGGCTTTAGCTGCCTTGTCTTCCTTGAGTCTGACGTAGCCGTTTGCTTTATGCAAGGCATCCTCTAGGGTTTTGGTTTTGCCAGTCTTCAATCTGTCGCAGTACGACTGGTCGTCTCTCAAATTTCTGGATAGGATGTTGAGAGAGAGTTCGTCTGACAAGCTGCATCGGGAAACTATGAATCAGAATCGATTGATGTAGCCGCGTAGCGGTTCTGTGTCGCCCTTGACCCAGGCCCATAAGTCAAGCGGTGTAGATTCTGTGTCGATGTAGATCGAATAGTGCTTGAGAAAATGGCTCGTAAGCTCTTTGTAAGTGTCGATGGAATTCGAGGGGAGCTGTGAAAACCAGGAAATGGCGCTTCCAGAGAGCAATTCCATGAAATATTGGCAGAGTCATGCATCCCGCTCTTCATCTGTAAAGCGAGCTCGTCCCATGACTGCGTTGAACTCGGTCAGATGTCACTTCGGGTTGGTATTTCCAGTATAGCTGGGTCGTAATTTCATCCGTCATATGTCCTTAAGAGGAGTTTTAGTGATGGCCGATGTGAACGGCGTATGCTGCGTCTGTTGGAGTATTTTATCCAGCTCGGGGGCGGATGTTGTGGCTTTGTGAACCTTAGTATTTATATCGTCAAGGCGTTGATGGAGAAGATCGAGCTCGAAGGCTGTCGTCTGGTGGGGGGGGGGGGAGCTCACGTTGTGTTTCTCGACGAACAAGAATTGGAGCCTTCCACCTGCGCCCTCTGTAGTTCATCTGTCAGCATGGTGCCGAAAAGATTATTGACCAGCTTCGAGGTTTCTGGGTTTCCCTACTGACGGACCGGCTGGTGTTAAGGCGTGGTGAGGTCGGCCTGTTCCTGGGTATGAGCCCTGGCGTTGAGGAGCCGATCAAGGTCCTTGCGGTAGGCAATCTGTTCGGCGCGGAGTGACTCGAACCGAGCATCCATGCTTTGCTGTAACTGGTTCGCGAGCAATTCGATAAGGCTGGCCATGTCGATGGGAGATGGCTGTGGCAGGTCGGTCTGATTCGCCCCGAATGTCTAATCGGCCTTGTTCACTCCAGCAGTTTGGCCGACCTGATTTTCCTCGGGGGTGTTCCGCGCAGCGGCTGGATCATCTATCAGTGGATTTTTCTGGTCGACCACAGGAAGTCTGGTGATTGGGTCGATAAGCCGGCCCTGGGTGTTGTCTCCGGGAAGATCGGTGGCTCCTCCGGCGGGATCGGTGGTATCGGGATCGGTGGGTGTCTCAACCATCTTCGAGCTCCACTTTTTTATATAAAGATTTGGTCTCTTATTCCCCACAGACGGAACCAACTGTGATAACTCAAATCCGATCTAAAGACTGAACAAGAGTTAGTGGGTTTAAAGAGAGATCTTCATTAACATTTAAACCAGAGCTCGAGAGATACATGGTGGTCTAGGTCGTCGGTATAAGAACGCCGACCTAAATAAGAATGAAGGAAAGCTCGAGAACTAAGAACAATTGATTGCTAGTTTCCCCTAGGTCTCGAGAGAAGATTTTTTGGATTGATTCGAGAAGCTAATTCGTTATATATTTATACCCGATCAGGTCGGTCTTCTGGAGATAATTTCGCATATCCAAAATAGGAAAACTTCCTTGCCGATAAGACCGATCTTCCGACTTTTCCGGATTTAGTCCGATAAATGGAAGATTTCTATTTATTTGGTCAATCTAAATATTCTTTAGGGTTTCCAAAATAGACTGATCTGAATATATGTCGGGATTTTAGAGAGGGTACGGATCCCATCTCTAACAGTGCGGACCTTCTCCTAGTAATACAATAAAAGAAGAAAAATTATGCATATAGATTGATGCTGAAGAAGTATTATATTGTTTGATAAAAAATTATGATAGATTTTATGTGTTTATATAGATATGGATGGTATTTTTATTTTTCTATTAAGATTAGTGTTTTAGATATTAACTTTTGTTTTTATTTTCTTTTTTGAATAGTATTTTCCTTTTTTAGAATTAGTATTTTAGGCTATTTTTTTTTCTTTTTTATACTGAAATATATTTTTTTATTTAAAACTTTTATAATTTATCGAAACATATGTTAAATTCTCAATAGAAAAATTCGTCACATATCACAATCATGTGAAATACTAATTTTGATATATCAAATCTTATATAATAAAAAATATCTTAAATATGTTTTTTTCAATATCAGAAATTTAGAAAATTTCAATTAAAGTTCTTAATATTTTGATAATTTCTGTCAGTTAAATTTGATAGGAATCAAATGTAAAGTTATATTTTATTGTATATATTTTTTTGTTTGCTCACAGTATATATTGATTTGACATATTAGTCAAATTTTATTTTATGCATCTTTGTTGTCTAAACACATTGCTCACAGTATATTTGGTTGGTTAAAATATCAAGCCTTGAAGAATTTTATTTATTCGGTTCAATTGATTTCTGTAAAACACCACAAATTGTTCAAATCGCTTTCGATATATTGCAATTGTATTTATGTTTGCAATGACATTCAAATTTGTGTTTGCACGTACTTACGTGTGTACGTATGTTTGTATTTAGCGTTAGATTAGTGGATTGTCTCGCACTACGTGCAAGTTTATTTATAAATTATATTATATAACGTTTACTTTTGTAGTGTTTTTATTATTGGTTTTTTTTTGTATTTGTTTTTTTTGGGAGCATTTGCTATTATTTTTGTATTTGTTTGTTTTGTAATAAGGAAAATGTTTTAAATTTAAGTATCCAAATTGCTAATAAAGTTTGTGTATGTTAGTTGTGCATCTGTGTGAATTAATAATTTAGTTTGGTAAAGTTAATAATTTAATAATATACAATATATTATAAATTATATGAATATACAATATATTATAATGTATTCTGTGTGAAATAATGTATTCACACAGATATAATATAATGTATGATAAAAGCATCTATGTGAAATATTGTATATTCACACAGATATAATATAATGTATTCACACAGATATAATATTATTATTTGTGATATAATATAGTATTCTGTGTGAAATAATGTATTCACACATATATAATATAATATATGAGAAAAACATTTTGTGTGAAATATTATATCTACTAGGTTATTGTCCGCACGTTTGTGCGGGGTAATGTTTGTAAAAATATTTAAGAGATATTCTATAATTTATTAAGTTTTGAAAAATATTTGGGTATCTAAAAATGTTCAGTCGAGATTTGAAAAAATTTAGTTATTTTTGTTTTTAATTTAAGCTTATACAAAGCGAGATTTATATTTACTTTTGTCTGAGGTTTCGAAAAATAATATTTTTATTCATTTGTATAATATGTGAATCAAAGATGTTGCAAAATAATAAATACACGTAGATCTAAAACATGGAAATGAAAATAAAATTTATTTCCCACCCCCACAGCCACAGCATGGAGTAGCTGCTCCCGCGCTACAACCAATCAAAATTTTATACGGATCGATCGATATATGATGATGCTAAACCGAGACCGAGATAGAGAAAGAGGGCGAGGAAACTCATTAATTCATTGATGAGGGCAATAGCGCCTTTGTTGGCTCTTCAAGACAAAAACACTCATAGGAATGGTGCTAATTCCCATGTTCCTTCTAGTCTCGTTTGGTTTCGAAAGCCTCCCCCTCCCTGTCTCTTACTCTTTGAAAGCTGTCATCCTGGATTTCTTTTTGAATGGTTTCTTTGTTCTCTTATTTGGATTGAAAGAAAGACAGACAAAACTTCATTTTCTTCGACGAATTTCGGCTATGACCAATGCACCAATAGCTGAATAGGCGTAACAAAGCTACCTGAAAAAAGGCAAAGTGCACCTTGGGATTGAAATCGACGAATTGCGTTTTGCCCGAGAGATTTATTTAGAAAGATTATCCATTAGATAAAGAATGCAAAATAGAAAGAATATAAATAAAGGCGCATACACGGGAAGGGGGCACCACTACTTCCAGGGGGAGACTAGCCTCATTACTTCTTAGTGGGCGAGAGGTGCGCCTAACCCACCTACCCACTCATAAATCACGGTGTTCAGCTGACTTGAACTGATAGACCCCTATTGTATTGGAATTTAGCGCCCATCTTTTGACTGTTGTCAACGAATCTCTTCAATGTTCGATTCTACTCTATGTTAGAACATTTCTGTGAATGCTATTCTAATCTAAGTGGTCTTATTCTGTGTCCTGTGCTAGGAAGCATTACTCTTCTTTTCATTCCAAATTCAAGAATACGACCGATACGATTAATTGGTCTGTGTGCCTCTCTTATTACTTTTTTGTATTCTCCTGTTCCTCAGATACAATTCGACTCTTCTACGGCCAAATCTCAATTTGTGGAAAGCCTTCGATGGCTTCCTTATGAAAACATCAATTTTTATTTGGGTATAGACGGTATCTCTTTATTCTTCGTGATATTGACCACATTTCTGATCCCTATTTGCATTTCAGTGGGTTGGTCTGGTATGAGAAGTTATGGGAAAGAGTATATTACAGCATTTTTAATTCGTGAATTTCTAATGATCGCCGTGTTCCGCATGCTGGATCTTCTACTATTCTATGTTTTTCCCGAAAGCGTGCCAATCCCTATGTTGTGCGGAGTGGAGTATCTTATATTCGCTGGGATAAAGCTTTTCCTCTGCAGGGGCCTTGTGCAGTAAACCCCCTACGGGCGGTCGTCCGTCGTCGTAAAGTAGTCCCCGCGAAGCTTTCGGGAAGAGGGGTAGTCTTGTGTGTAAGCATAGCATTTCTGGTCGAACCCGCCCAATCCAACTAAGAAGAACCGAACCTGACAGACACATCTTTTTCCTTTTGGGAGGGTACTCCGAGTAGTGGGTACCTCGTAGGACCTCGACCCGCCTACTCGGGTCTTGTATGGATATGCAGGAAGGGGTGCTCCTAGGTGTGTGTAGGGGTTGTGTTTGTTCGCGAGAATGGATTCCTCGTCAAGTCTGTTTGGGGGGTGTGGACACACTTGCGCGAATTCAGGTAACGGCTACAAGGGAGAAATCAAAAGGAAACTGTACCCGACCAGGGATGGACGTAAACTCGTAAGCTACCGAGGTTAGGGATAATCGTCCAGGTCTTATTGTGAAACAAAAAAGCCGCCCCGCCACAACAAGCGGGTTGGTTCCTCTGTCGTTGCCGGATAGCTCTTGGCGAGGTACTTTTGTCACTCGACTGAAAGGAGAGGAGACCTTAGGATAAGTTGCTAAAACAAAGGGGGAGCAGAGGATCGACCCGTTCAGTAGAATTCCGAAGAAAGACTGTTGACAGCTGGTGGAGACATTTCTTTGGCCCCCGTCAAATCAAAAGGCGTTCCTCTCCTATTAGTCGAGTAATTGGCGTTCCTCGGGCAGAGTTAAGCTCGGCAGAGGGTTCGAGAATAGGGTCCTGCCCCTCAGATTCTCAGATAAAAAAAGAGTTCCAAACCTTTATGCATGCACCTCCGTATAAGTGCTGCGTACAAGTTCCGGCCAGGATAATTGGGAAAGATCAAACCCGAAAGAACCGCTCACATCACAGTAGTAGCAGCGTAAAGGCCGTAAGTCGGGGGGCGGCCATAACATAAGGTAAGGCTATTACTTTCACATCTCTCTTTCTCTCGTACTATAAGAAAGAGAGATCCGCTGCGTGAGCAACCCGACTGTGCGTTACATGTGCTCTACAGGCCGCACTCCATCTTTCTTCTTCTTAACGAGCCCATTTATCTTTAGATTTTGAAGACGGGCGTTGCGTTCGGTTCGAAAGGTATGGTTTTCAGTATGTCTCCAGATAGGGCGCCCCACTAGTCCGGCTAGCTAGTGAGCGGTTCTTTCGGGCGAGAAGCAGGCCAGGCCCTACGGGCGGGCATCTCCCGCAACGAAAGCTGCATAGTTCGCCACCACCCGAAAAGTAAAAGATTAGAGAGTCCAGGCTAAAAATACATGCATAGATAGTGGTCTAATGACAAGGGTCGACGACGGAAGCTCGGGACGGAGCCGTATGATGCGGAAGTCTCACGTACGGTTCCCTGAGAAGGGAGTGGCTACCTACTGGAGCTTCGACCAAGCACCCCTGGTCAATTCCGCTTTGGGGCCACCCCTTACTCTACCATTATTATAGGAGTATGGGGTTCGAGACAAAGAAAGATCAAGGCAGCATATCAGTTTTTCCTTTATACTTTACTTGGATCTCTTTTTATGCTATTAGCTATTCTGTTGATTCTTTTCCAAACAGGAACCACCGATTTACAAATATCATTAACCACAGAATTTAGTGAGCGGCGCCAAATCTTTCTATGGATTGCTTCTTTCGCCTCTTTCGCCGTAAAAGTGCCTATGGTACCAGTTCATATTTGGTTACCCGAAGCTCATGTAGAGGCACCTACGGCAGGATCCGTCATCTTGGCAGGAATTCCTTTAAAATTTGGAACCTACGGGTTTTTAAGATTTTCAATACCCATGTTTCCCGAAGCGACACTTTGTTTTACTCCTTTCATTTATACTTTAAGCGCGATTGCTATAATATATACTTCCTTGACCACTTCAAGACAGATCGATCTAAAGAAGATCATTGCTTACTCCTCAGTAGCCCATATGAATCTGGTGACTATTGGTATGTTTAGTCGGGCGGCGGCCGTTAGGTCACCTATTTTGAGTTATGGACACACAAGGCCAAAACATGTGTGTCGGGCGTGCGACCCATCAACCTACTAGCAATGGGGGAGAAAACATAGCATGTCGCAACAAAAGCTTGATTCGAGGCGTCAGCAAAACACTGCCGTCTGTTCCCTTCAGTCCCTTAGCGCCCCGGGACGGGAGTGGGGGACGGTCGTTTAGACGGCAACAGCAGCACCGGCTCCACGAAGTCTGAATCGAATCTTTCTGTTGGCTTTCCCAATTCATTCGTAAATCAAAATCAAAGGGCTAGAAGCGCTCGCTTCTAGCTGCTTCGCCTGCTTCTTCTTATTATGGCGGCTATGTTGGCGTGGCGAAAATGAACGAAAAGCGAGATGAACGTGCTATTTTCAAATCGATTGATAGATAGCCTGATCTGTTCTGATAGATCTAAAGAGTAGAAATAGATAGAGAATAGAGAGGGAATCAATAATAAGGTCTTTGAGCCTATTTCTATCTATTGATGAGACAACTATCTATTCTTGATCCATCAGAAAGAAATCGATATGTATCTGATGGAGTCTACATCGTACGTAGAGCACCCCAGCGCTTTTTGGGCTAGCTCAGTTCTCTTATCCATCGGTCCAATGCACTGGGCTTATCTCATGGAGGGAAAAGCCAAAATGTAGTTGTCTTGTTGTTGTTCGCCGCCTCGACGCATTCCCCTCTCTCCCCGGCATCGTCCCACACAGAAAGAAAGAGCGCGGAGCCCCGGCCCGAGCCGTAGGTCCGCTAACGTAAAGCGAAGAGTTGAGCCTGAACTGGCGAACCGAAGTCACTTTCGGAACCATACTTCCTACAGCTAACATGTGCCCAGTCCTGCGGAAAGGCGCAAACGAACGTGAGCTGCTATACCAAAATCCCCCGCTGGCCATTGGGGACCGAGTGGTAAGGCCATGATCTGCAGGGGAACGGATCACTCATTCTTCCATTGGGGACAGGTGCACGAACGACAACTCCAAACGTCACACATCCGCCGCCTACTTACCGTTTAGGTGGCACCAGCGAGATCCAGCTAAGGAAAAAGAGTGTCGCGGCTGCTCCACTCCGCCGCGGTCTCATGAACTTCACGGAGGAACCTAGCTTCTTCAGCGAAGCTGGAGGAACCTAGCTTCTTCAGCAAAGCTGGAGGAACCTAGCTTCTTCAGCGAAGCTGGAGGAACCCCTTCCCGCGCACAAAGCGAATGGGCGCTGTGCTGTGGGTCAGTTTCGGGGCGGGGGGCGCAGAGATACCAGAAGAATGATTCATTTGTTTGGATCGACGAGCTTTTTCAGCCCCAAAACTCAGAATCAATGGTCAGAATCGATGGAATGTCTGTCCATAAACATCTATTCTATATGTATATATAGGGGATCTCTCTATACATATCAAAGTCTTTTATGGCATGATATGATCGCCTAGCTGTAGCCGCATATCAGCTGCGCTTAATATACGGATTTCTGTTGGATCAGATCTTTTCTTTCGCTTTGACGGAAGCTTTTTGACCTAGCGAAAAGCACTTTCGCGCAAGCAAAGTAGAAGCTTTTGCCAGAAGCAAGACGAGGAAGCGGAGCTGTCGTATAAGCGGTAGCTTCCCCCGACCGACTAAAATACAAGAGTCGCGGCCTACTTTGATTGCGAAGGGGTTTGGCAACAAGCAAACGGCTTTCTATCATAGTTGCAAGGGTTAAAAACCCTTAGTTCGTTGCTTTTCCCAAAAGAAAGACCACCGGAGAAACCAATTTGATAGAATCCAGAAATGATAGCTCGCTCCAAAAGAGAGAAAGCAAGACTTAAGTATAAGAAATAAAAAGAATCAAAGAAAAAAGAGAGACAATAGTACATAGGCATCAGAAAAAAAACCAGGACCAATAAATTCGATAGCACGTAGGCATATAATTTCTCTGGATAGGTCGAACTATTGGAAGAAAATAGAAAAAGAAGACCAAGTAAGATCAAAGAAAGTAGCAAACTAATCACTAAATAGATAGAAATAGGTGCAAATTCGAACATCATGACAACTCAGTGAGTTCTATCGCTCCTTGCTCGCGGAGCAGCATACCCAAAAAAAGAGATTCAAGGTTCTATAATACACTCGACCATAGGTAGAGGAGAGGAACCGATGATTTACGCTCTTAGGGCCTTTCAAGAGCGTGACACAGACTCCAGGAAGACTTCATTAGACTTGCATGTGTTAAGCATATAGCTTTCTCTTCTCTTTCTCTGTTCTTGACATGATGGACCTGTCAAAATCAGATGCCCCTGCCCCAAAGGATACATATCACGTAACTAAAAAAAAAACCTTGCTACTTTCTTATAATGTGACATGAGTTTATTTAGAAAAGTTTGAGAAAAGTCGGGACCTCTCATCCAATTTTTCCATTATGGTTTTCTTTACCATCTTGGATGACATTGCCTCAATGAAGGTAGAATGTATTTGAAGAGACAAATCAGGATAGGACCATAGCGAGTTCCCTTTTAGGGGGTTACGAGCCTTTAGCATCCAGATTGGGCAATACGAGATAGATTGATTTACATTTACCTCGAGGATAGTCTTTCTTTTCCAAGCGCGCTTTCCCAACCTGCCATATGTCCGATACATAGTCGAGGGCTCTATACGAGCGCCTTTCTTTCAACTCTATCTATTCTTGCTTTTCAAACATTGTATTCCTTATAGAATATCATCTCATGTCTATCTATAGTATAACGTTTCTCATAGTGGCATAGCGGCTCCGAGGTGATTCTTTCTGGTATCCGTCCTCTCTCATACTGCTTTAAGGTTGGAGGATTTAGTTCAAGCTAGTCTCCTATGGTGAAGATCTCTGTATTTGTTAAGACTGTATGAAAGAAATCACATATAGTAATCATCTAAGAATATATCTATACTATAATGGTTGCATCTAACATTTGCTCATAGTGTAGATAAGGCAGTCCCCGGAGCTAAGAAAACTACGCTATTCAAAGCAATCCGCCCAAGGAAGGCTAGCTAGTCGAGTCTAATGCTAGGCTAGGTGATTCCTCTCTATCAATGACCGAAGCTTAATCCAGAGAGAAAGCTCACTATACCACCAGGTTGCCACATTTGCTTATGAAACAAGAACAGCTTATCCCGAGGCTCTGAAAGACTGAGGGTAGTCACTCAAAAAGTCATCCGTCACTTCGCCCGAAAAGCACTATAGGGGATTCCGGCCAAGCGAGCATAAAAATACAATACCCAACTTTCTGTTTCAGCCCACTCCACTTCATTGACCGAGACTTTCTATTCTGAACCGGTTCGGTTAAAAACCTAGCCACGAGACCAACTCCGGGCTGTCGTAAAAGATCAATTCCCAGATGCTCTTACTCGACGCCCACAGGCAAGCTTGTTTAGAGAAGGAGAAGTTCTCTTCATCAGGGAAACTGCTCAACCTCCACTATTCCCATAGGCATGATTATGCACTAGCAGACAGAAAGTGCCAAGAAGAGAAAACGCATAACTCATAAGCCAAAGATGTATTCGATCCTGAATTGAACGTAATCTTGGCCGATTGGTTGGAAGGTAAGGATAGCATGATTGACTGGTTGCGGGTCCCTTGGATCATGGGCCACAGCTATTTGGATAGATTCAGATCCTTTCATGTAGTAGAGTCTTTGATGGGCTCGGATCCTTTTCATGATTTCATGTGAGGACACCTTTGGCGGGCTTTTTTGATAGATCCAGGATTTCTGTGCGATATCGATCTTCTCTTTATGGCTTTGGTTAATCTATCGTCCAGCTGTCTTGGTCTTCCGGAAAGGCGAAGACAAAAGCATGGATTGACTTTATTCTACGACTAAACCAGAATCACCCCGGAGTGAGCTGTTCCATAAGGGGCTCATATTATCCGACAGAGCAGAGCTATCATGCCGAAGAAGCCTTTTTCTTTCTACGCCCCGGTGGCATCTTGACTTTCCTAGGTCTCTAATAGTTCCCCATAAAAGAGTCAATGGGCTGAGCTGATCGAGTCCCATTTTCTGGCTGCAAGGCCCGGCCCGAGTAGTCAATGGTTGCTACCGCCCACTGCGCTTCTCTGTACCATTTCATTTCTAGTCAAAATTTATTTTTCGGGGGTGGTGGCGAACTATGCAGCTTTCGTTGCGGGAGATGCCCGCCCGTAGGGCCCGGCCTGCTTCTCGCCCGAAAGAACCGCTCACTAGCTAGCCGGACTAGTGGGGCGCCCTATCTGGAGACATACTGAAAACCATACCTTTCGAACCGAACGCAACGCCCGTCTTCAAAATCTAAAGATAAATGGGCTCGTTAAGAAGAAGAAAGATGGAGTGCGGCCTGTAGAGCATATGTAACGCACAGTCGGGTTGCTCACGCAGCGGATCTCTCTTTCTTATAGTACGAGAGAAAGAGAGATGTGAAAGTAATAGCCTTACCTTATGTTATGGCCGCCCCCCGACTTACGGCCTTTACGCTGCTACTACTGTGATGTGAGCGGTTCTTTCGGGTTTGATCTTTCCCAATTATCCTGGCCGGAACTTGTACGCAGTACTTATACGGAGGTGCATGCATATAGGTTTGGAACTCTTTTTTTATCTGAGAATCTGAGGGGCAGGACCCTATTCTCGAACCCTCTGCCGAGCTTAACTCTGCCCGAGGAACGCCAATTACTCGACTAATAGGAGAGGAACGCCTTTTGATTTAACGGGGGCCAAAGAAATGTCTCCACCAGCTGTCAACAGTCTTTCTTCGGAATTCTACTGAACGGGTCGATCCTCTGCTCCCCCTTTGTTTTAGCAACTTATCCTAAGGTCTCCTCTCCTTTCAGTCGAGTGACAAAAGTACCTCGCCAAGAGCTATCCGGCGACGACAGAGGAACCAACCCGCTTGCTGTGGCGGGGCGGCTTTTTTGTTTCACAATAAGACCTGGACGATTATCCCTAACCTCGGTAGCTTACGAGTTTACGTCCATCCCTGGTCGGGTACAGTTTCCTTTTGATTTCTCCCTTGTAGCCG